TTTTTGTACTCCTTCCATGGGTCATTTCTTGCTTCCTAATTCACAGTCACTGGGGGTGGAGGGAAATACATCTGTCCATTTTGAAGGAAGAGTGGGCCCGGAAGAGGAGAGCTTTCAACTCACTTTCTCCAAAATGCAGAGGTGGTAAAGCTGAGAACAACCATCCTGCCTGCGTTTGTATGAGACTTTAGCATTTACTAAACATCATCTGGTTTCATTTATATTTATATACGCTTATATATATGTATCATCTGGTTAAAGTCTTAAGGAAATCCTAGGGTAGTTATGAATATCTAAGAAATAAGAGACTTGGAGAAGTTAATTGGTCCAAATTACACAAACCAGTAAGTGCTGAAGCTAGCACTTGAACCCAGGTCTTCTGAGTCCCACATCTGGTCTGTGCCATGGCTACTGTCCAGAAACTCGCAGAAAGTGGAGAAAAAAATACTTTGGGGAGGAAACAGAAATCCTGGATGCCAAGAAGCTCATTTGGGCAGTCCACGCAGGAATTTAACTTCTCATGGGGGGTTAGCATTAAGGAGGTAAGGGTTTCATAGCTGAAAACACACTTCACAACCAATTCACATTCAAATTGGAGCAGTCTCTACTCCACGGAAGAACAGCGAAGTTCTGGCGGTAAAACATTTTCTGTCAAAAATAAGAAATACCTCCTTTTGATGGAAGGAAAACATTAAAAATTATGGTTTCTAATGCCCTTTCCAAATGTGAGCCCTAGGCCAAAGGCATCTCTTCCTGTACAGAAAAATGTTTATGTTCCCACCACCCAGATAGTCACCTAAATGAGCACTTTGTTGTATATACCTTTGTCTACGTGTGTGCACACGCACAAGAGTATTTATATTCATACAGACGTGAGTGTGCATGCATGTACAGACATTTTCAAAACTGGAATCTTTTTTTTTTTACATTATTTATTATTTTTTCATCTTTTTGGGAGGGGAGGTAATTAGGTTATTCATTTTTTAATGGAGGTACTAGGGATTGAACCCAGGACCTCAGGCATGCCCAGCATACACTCCACCACTGAGCTGTACCCTCAGCCCCCTCAAAATGGAATCTCTGGATACTGTTTTACATTCTGCTTCTCTCACTTACTAGGGAATTATGGTCTTCTTTGAATATAATATACCCACTTAGAAATCTATGTTTTGTGTCAAGGCCTTCCGAAGGTTACTCTATTTTCTTAAACTAGGAACACATTTTCAAAGGGACAACAAGGTGGACACAGTGAACAGAAAGTCTGTCCATTCCTCTCATCAGTAACTTCTGGCAGCCTTGAGGTTAACGGGGGCTTCTGACTCATCCACCTCCATGAAATATTACCCTGCTCCCTAACTTACCCCCAAACAGCCCCTTCTTAGCCAGACCTTATCTCTACTCATTTCTTTTATTTTCCTTCCAGTTTATTGCTATCATTGACATACAGCACTGTAAAAGTTTGAGGTGTACAGTATAATGATTTGACCCACATACATCATGAAATGATGACCACAATTAGTTTAGTGAACATCCATCATCTCATATAGATACAAAAGAAAAGAAAAAATATTTTTTTCCTTAGGATTTACTGTCTCTTAATCACTTTCAAGTATAACATACAGCAGTGTTAATTATGTCAGTCATGCTGTACATCACATCCCTAGTACGTATTTATCTTATAACTGGAAGTTTGTACCTTTTGACCACCTTTATCCAATTCCCCTGCATCAGCACCACTCCTGTCTTTGATAATCACAAATCTGATCTCATTTTCTATGAGTTTGTTTGTTTGTTGAAGTATAAATGACCCACAACACTATGTTGGTTCCTGGTGCACAACACCGTGATTCGGTATTTCTGTACATTGCACAATGGTCACCGTGATAAGTCTGGTCACCATCTGTCACCAAAGATACTACACTGTCATTGACTCTGTTCCCTACGCTGTACCTTTCATCCCCATGTCATTTATTTTCTAACTGGAAGTTTGTACCCCTCAGTCTTCCTCACCTATTTCACTCATCCCTCTCTACCCACTTCTTGAGATCTGCCATTCACCCTGACGCTAACCTTGCCTCATTAATTATTTTTATGACAGTTGACTTAGCTCCTAACCTTGAATCCAGTGCACAGAGCAATACAAGAGCCTTTACATCATCTTGGTCACTATACGTTTCAGAATCAAACTTTTTCCACATCTAAAAGCAAGTTCCATTGCTCAATATGAAAATGGCCTGGTCCATCTGAAAACAGACCAGTTATCTGCCTAGAGCAACAAGACTTCAGTTGCATCATAAAGATTCCTGGTTTTCAGCAAACCACTCTGGTGCAGAATCATCAGTTTTGTGGCCTGACTTTGATCACAGCCTGCAGCCTCTGGGTCCCCCCTGGTCTAGGTAGCACCTCTCCAAAGAGTGTCGAGTGTACTTCTCAGAGGCAGGGGTCACAGAGGAGGGTTCTCACAAACTCTGTTCAGGCTACTATTTCCGTTCCTTCCAACAACTTCTCCGTGATACAGCAGACTCTAAAATAATTAACTCCCAGGTCTAAGTGACCACTCCTGCCAGGGGCTCCCCTTTCTGAAATCACCTCCATTTTAGTGCTACCACAGAGATCCTTCTCAGGTGGGCTACGGGGCCAGTTGTGGCCCACATTCCCGTCTGTCCTTACAGGGGGCCGTGCTAGACTGCTGGATGGTTTCCTGCTCCAGGTGCATTCCCAGCCCCGCCCCCACAACCAAGCTAAGCTGTGGGCAAGCTCAGACCAACTATCAATCGACGAACTTCCAGTTAGTTCGCTCCATACCCACAAGGAACAACAGTCATAACCAAGGCAACAAAGCCAAGCCACAACCTGAGATAGAAAAGAGAGATATTGTCTCTGTCTGGTCTGAGATCAGTCGCTCTACCCCAGACACAGGTGATGGCCAGGGTGTTGCCAAGGCCCATTTGGTTCTCAGCTCATGTCCCCTGCCACTTAGCCCAGGGACTTCACTATCTCCAACCCCACCCTCCCACTCCCCCATATTTTTCTTCTGTCCTTACACCAAAGCTTCAGGGAAACAGAAAGAAGCTTGTCTACGTAACAAGTTGGAAAATCTCCGTCTTAGATACAGTTGGCTGTGAGGAGAGAGTTTATGTTCTTTCGACTGCGTTCCATTTGATTCACAAGTATTAAGCAGTAAACAATGGCTTGAGATGCTTATGGTGTTTTGTAGAGAATTTGATCTACTTTCCTGACACCCTCTGCTTTTTATTCCCTTCCTTGCTTCTTCCTTTTTTTCTTTGCCTCCTTAGACTGGAGGGGGCCGCCACCAGGGGAGAAATTTCTGACCAGAATATTAAACAGGTGCAATCTCTTTAAGCACCAACTTTATCGACAGGAGAGACAGTAAGTGAGCCAGCAAAGTGAATGCCCCATTAATGGCCAGCCAATAGGTAACACCTGCCAAAATAAAAAAGACATTCCTGTATCAAGCATTCAATGGGGCAAACTTAAAAAAATCATAGCCCCATTTGGTTTATGTGATATGTCCTAAGATAGTATGCATCTTAGAAAAGTTTTTTTTAACTTCTTGAAGGATTGAACATGTTCTTTTTCTCCATGTCTTCAGTACACGCAGTTGTTTAATGAACTTAGTGAATCTGACAACGAAATAAGGCAATAATGAAATGCTGGGAGATCGTTGTTTCCCTTATGTATTTCAGCGTCCTCCAGGCAGAACTAATAAATATTCAGCAAGTGATTAGTTAGTACATCCCCACGTGCGTCCTTTGCATATTCATACCAGCTGCCCTTTCACAAGCAGTTTTACTTGGTAATTTACAAATGTACTGGCCGCACTCTGCACCTGTCAGTATTGCAGTGATTAGCTTAGAATGCAAATGATTTCTAAATTAAGGTTCTGGACTTGTAAAATCAAGAAAGCCTGATTATCAGCAGTTTTAACTGTGGTAGCCAATATGTAACGGGATAAACAACCAGGACAAGTCCTTTAACCATCCTAACAACCAAGCTAAAGGTCTACACAAGACTCAGGTGAAATACAGGTCGACCACTGGAGGCAGGTGAAAGGGTCAGGGCTCCATGATTGAAACTCGCGCCCTTTCTCGGGCCGTGTATAAAACAGCGTGGTGGGCGGGGGCTGGAGGTTTTAGTCAGGTGAAACCTCAAATTGACACAAGCCGATAAAACCCGGGCGTCGTGCCCGAGAAACACGGGTGGCTCCTGGAAGACAGGGAGCGGGGAGCAGTAAGTGAGCGTCCGAGCGGGTCGGAGCGAGGCCCCATCCCGGGACTCGGGCTGCGAGGAGGAGGAGGATGAGCTGGAGGGAGAGCGCGGGAGCGGGAGGAGGCAGACGGGAGGGGAGTGGGCAGAGCGAGAGGAGCGGAAGGAGAGGAGAGAGGAGAGCCGCGCGGCCCAAGGGGAAAAGGGAGGAAGAGAAGAAGGCGGCGGAGGCGAACGGGCCGCCCTCCGGCGCCCCCCGCTCCCAATTCGGCCGGCCCTCCCAGGGCCCGACGCAGCCTCTCACCTTTCCCGGGCTGCTCCGAAAACGCGGAGACGCCGACTCCTCCGGCGCCCGCGCCGCGCGCGCCCGTCCGCGCGCGG